GGTCTCCTTCACTGACAGGTTCGTTTATGCTGATTTTGGTGACGATCAAAGAAGGTGACCCTGGCATCACCCTTTGCTTGTATTTTTAAATGATTTTGCCTGAAAGAAAGTTGGTATGGGCTGTTGTCTCCATTGGTGACTTGGGAGAGGAACCTTAACAATAGGTTCAAGTAAGCCTCGTTTGGAATATTACAGTTTTGGGGAGAAATCATTGGAAATGATGCACAAAAGCTAGCAGTGTGCTGTAGGGATGCTGCATGAAAGGCAGCATGGGACAACTGGGCAGAAATCTATCCCATTAAAATAGGAGTGAGCGATACAAACTGTTCTAAAGCTTTTTGTGGGCACCATTGTTTGCTTGTGAGATGTACGTAGATAGAGCCCTGAAGTGAGTCAGTAAAATTTAATGTTAAAGGTAAGCCTGGGAACCAAGGTTCCTCTTTTTTTTTCTTTTTTTTCTTTTTTTAAGCGTTTATTGCTGCTTCATAGTACCTTTGCTACAGATAGACTCTTCTGGTCAGATGGTGCTGATGCTTTTACAGTTGTTTTCGGTGTTAGCTCTGCACAAGGTGGCCCCAGTGCTGCTCTTTTAGAATGAGGAACAGTGCCTGAATTTAGTCTTTCTGTGACTGCTTATCTTTTAACCCCTGCACCACTTTGTAGTTGATATTGATGTCCTTCGCTTTGACAAGCAAAACTACATCTGGTGCCACTGTGTATGTGGTCCAAGGCAAGACCAAAAAAGAAAGGCAGTTTGATTTTCTCTGTCAAGCAGACAAAATGGGATGGGAGCCACCAGCTCCGAGGGAGCCGTGAGTGCTGCCTGTGAGGAACAGGCTACCTTATACGTGATTTATTCCTTCTTGGAGCAGGTCAGTAGTTGAGGGCTCAGCAGTGGACTCTGTCTTTTTTTTTTTTTTTTTTTTCTCCTCTCCTTCTCCTTTTCAATACCAAGGAATGGCGACCCAGAAGCAGTGCCTGGCAGGGGAGGATTGTAGCTGTCTATTTACAGCCCTTCTTCCCGGCAGTGGCATCGAGGGCAGCACAGAGTACCTTTCGTGCTCTCTTTTCTTGGTGTGGAAAGATTGTCAGATGTAAGGAGGAGAGTGCAGAAAGGCTGGGAACCATGAATTTAGCTTGCTTACTTCTATTGCAATACTAATTACACCTGGACTTCTCTGGCGGAGCGGTAGGCTGAGAACAGCCAAGATACCTCAGAGTCGGAGGTATCGATGCTAAAACTGCACACGATATGAAACGTTTCCTGCTTCCTTCTCTAGCGAACGGTACATCCTAGCTGTTATGCTTTCTAGATAAGCCGGTCCAATTTAAAGAGTTTTTCTTTCCTCCATTTAGTTGAACACTGCGTTTTTAAAAGTTACTTTCTGGTCCATGTCATTTTCAGGAGGCAAGTTACACAGGATTTCATCTTTACTTTAGATAGTATTGTTGATAACCACGAGGAGGCTGCAAATCTGAAGAAAAGGAGGAGACAGGTGGATATATAAGGTTTTGCTCTACTTGCTGACTTGTATTTGTGATTCTGTTTTTGCTGGTATATATTTTTCACCAGTAATTTTATACAAATACTGCAAGTAACAGGGTGCCTGCAATTCCAGAGATTCTTAAAGTCCTACTTTGTATTGGACCATATTTATACACCAAGGCAATAGTAGACCCTTTTCTAACTCTGAATAGTCCTCCTCACTTGAATATTCAAGTACTTTCCGGTAATTAGTTACCTTACATAATTGCTATTTTTTCTCTGAGGGCAGGAGGCTTTGCTCCTGTCTTACAGAAAGAACGTGAGCCACTAGGCTGAGTGCGTTCCTCTCCCGTGTTACACGCAGAGCCTGCTGCTGCTGAAGTAGGAATCTTACTCACATACGATTCCAGCTTTACAGCACGCATATTACAGAGTAGCTACTGCTGGTGACACTTTGGAGATTTTTATGTGCAGGAGCCCTTCTGTTTTCATTGCACTTCATTACATGCACTGTTCATTTTGCTCTTTGCCATTTTGCTGTAGCTCCAAATCAGAGCAGACCTCCTGGAGAAGCTAATCGCGGGAATGTAAACCCCGCTGGGAGCTACCTGCGTCCTGCCGTTTGGTCGCTGCCGAAGAGTTGGCAACTTGGTCGCAGGAGTTCGTCAAAACGGGAGCACTTCAGAGGTTGCTTGTGATATTCACAGACCTCGATGCAAAATCCTCATCAAAGCGTGTGACAGTTTAGGCCCTTTGCTGGCATCTGACTTTTCCTGTGTAGGCTCATTAATTTCAAGGATTTACGGCAGAGTTTAGATTGTTCCTGCAAATTGCTTGGTTTCTGCTATTAGTTATTCACAATCCATGGTGTTTGATCATGTCATATTTCAGATATTGCCTCACTTAGCTGCCTTCCTGTCTCTCTCCCCCCTCCAGTTTCATTGAATGAGTGGGAAAACCATGTGAACTGTAAAATATCTGAGTTCCTCAAAGATTACTGGGATATCTGCAGAAAGAGTGGCATAGTCTCAAACTTATTCATTATTTTGTCCATAAATCTGATCAGTGTTTTAGTAACTGTAATTGATTTTGCTTACGGTCAGACTTGAATACACCACCTTTAAAAGTTTACTATGAAATATATTGCTTCATTTGAAGTGGCACTAGAAACTAATCCTACATAGAAAATGAACAGTGAATAAGTGTTATATATTTCCAGAGATCTTCAAAATTGCTGAGAATCTTCCTTAATGGAAGTACATCAAGATCAATATTTGACTGGAATTGATTTGAATGTTTGATACTGAGATGAAAAGAAGGAACATAGCCTGATTTCACTGAGAGAATGAGAGGGGTAATTGGACCACAGCTTGCAATGGATGGTAATGGTTAGCACAGCAAGATGGATTTCAAGCTGTAACTGATCTGGCTGTTTAGATTTTTTTCCCCTGCATATTTTTGAGGCATAGAGTAATGTATCCGATGTGGGGGAAGGGCCTTTTCTGGGACAGTCACATCTATTGCCAAACTCTGGATTATGGAAATACTTGATTACCCAGTTGGTAAAAATGTCAGGTATAGGCTTTTTAAACTTAAACATGCTTTTTAAAGAATGCCCTAATCCCAGACAGAATTTGAGCCTTAAGAGCTGCGGCTCTGAGGATGGATATGAAGCATAGGAGACTTCTATGGCCACTGCTGTGAGCTTTCACAGCCTTATTTCTCCTTCTGCTTCAGCTGTTGTGTTCCTCACGTGCGCATGGAGCTGATGTAAAATATTGTGATTATTTGCCCAGAAAAGCTCTCCAGTCAGCCTTGCAAATTACCTCCAAGGAACCATAGTAATTTTGGTGAAATCTCCATAACCTTTTATGTACACTTAAAAAGAAACAGTCTTATCAGAAAAGAAAGTTTTAATTTTTTTTTTAAACTTACTTTGCATTTATGTATTATGTATCGTACACAACGGAATTTTTAAAATCAAAAATGAAATGCTTTGATTTCATTGATAGTAAATGTTTCAATTAACACAAAAAAGGACTTTGGAGGAAAAAAAATAAAACTCACTCATTTTTAGAATGTGACCGAATTTGAAACTTTTGGAATGCACTGTAAATCTTCCATTCCCACACTGCTCCACATAGGTGCTAAAATATATTTGCAGAACTGCGCCAGATATAGTGATAGATTTAATGAAACAAAATAATTTCATGAAAGGAAATTTGTATTTGTGAACTCTATATACCTGTATACAGGACCAGAATCTGTTTTATGGCAGCAAGATCTTGCTATCCTTATTCAGCCTGGGTTTTCACAGTGAATATTCTATCTAGACGTCAGTCCCAGTTTTTCAGTAAAGAACTTTGAACTCCTGCTAAGAGGTTTATGTTACAGTGAAATATAAATAATAAAAAGGAGAGGAACAGAGCTGTCACGGCTATTCTGGAATATCTCTTTTAAGTAGTTATTTTACATGCAGGGTGGTCTAACCTTTGAAGTTGAAATATTCACAGCATTAACATAGAACTTCCCAAGAAGAGCCAATTTTTTTTTCAACTTTTACAAAGAGAAACTTAGTTTAAAAGTACCCAGTTACTTGCTTAGATTTAAACGTTCAACCGGACTCTCCCTATTAAGTTGGAATGGGGAAAAAGCTGTACAATTTAAGATGCAAATGGTGCTTTCTAATTGACTGCTGGAAGTGGGATGCTGTTCTCCTAACACGATGTCTTTTAGCCTTCTCAAAGCTGACTGTCTGCTAGCCTTCCAGTCCCTCTCTGCCAGTCCTGCGGGGAGAGGTGCATTTAATAAGACATACATCTTCCTTCCCTGGCCCCTGCCTTAGGTGGGGCTGGGAGGCTCTCGGGAGGTGTTTCCTTGCTGCCCGAATGTCTTAGACAGTAAAGCTGTACGAGGCTGTTCCCACCCAGACACGGTGAGCTGTCCATTTTCTTAATATTCTTTGTATGTTCTGTTTCCAGGTGTTCAGAAGAAATTACAAATATTGCATTTTTCTGAGAGTGGAATTCACTCTGCTTTCTGCCTTACTGCTTACGGCATTAGCTCGGGCGTGTTACAATGGCTCAGAAAAGTACTTGTGTAACGCCTTATTGCTGAAGGATGGCTTGTGATAGTTTCAAACCATTTGCAGTTCATCTTGTTCTTTTATTCTGGGTTTTTCAGGAAATAGGGAATAATCTTGATTTGATTTGGGAAGCCCTTCAGAAATAGTGGCACCGTTGACCTTAAACATAAGGTGGAAATAGTACCAAGTGTGTACAAGTGAAGTTATGCGTTGTAGACCTGTAGCAAATAACTTTAATGCTGCTGGGCACACTTTTCTAAAGTACTTGCTTCTTGAGAAGTGACATGCTCAAGAGTGATTAGGACCCTCTGGTGTGACTCTTCACAATTCTTGTAGATTCCTGAGTCACTTCCCAGGTAAAAGTTTTCTGTGTCATCCTTACTACTAGCCAATAGCTCCATGATGTTTTTTTCTCTCTCTCTTCTTCAGCTCCCTTTTTTAGATACTGGATACTTCTTTTATCACAATGGCATTGCCAAGGCCAGGAGAAGACGCAGTCTTCAACACAAGCTTCATCTGGAAAAGGATTCCAGGGTAAGTGTTTCATCATTATGTGCACCTATTGTGTTTCCTTTGTGACGCAGACTGTTTTTTATGAAATCAGGGTGATGATCCAATTTGTGGTTATGGCTATGTTTTTTTCACCATGCTTATTTTGAGCTTCGTGACTGCTGTATGCACACACCTCCCAAACAGCCTCAGCTTTTAGTTTTATTTCACTGCTACAAATACTCGTACGTACTGAGATGTATCCTCTTTCCAGTAAGACTCAGTGATGCCATAGTCTCCCGGACATGTCGGTGCACTGTCTCTGTACTGCGAGGAGGGGCTGCCCAAGGTACATCTTGCCGTTGTCCCCCCCACGCATCCTGCTAGTCCGTGGGTCATCCAGCCTGGAATACCTTGTGGTATGAACAGGGGCGTTTTCTCTGCAGTCACACAGGGACTTTTTCTCAGGGAATAGTGTACGCACCAGATGCTAAGAAAGTGTATGCTGTCAAACTTCAGTATTTCTTTCAGAGGCCATTGCTCGCAGTCTGCAAATGGTGTGCTCGATTTTCAGAAGCATGAGCCCCTCAGAAGGGAAAGGCTCCTTTTGCAGAAGGCTTTGAACTGGCACTAGCAGATTCTTTTTTTCTTTTATTCAGAGTTTTTACATCAGTATAATACCAGGCTGGAGTGGGGCCAGGTAGCACAAAAAGTGTATTTACTGCCCCAAAAAAGTAGATAAGCCTGAGGAATGATAGCATGACAGCAAATAGATTATTTTTTAATCCTTCAATAAGATTTAAACTCTCCGCACTGTGAGCGAAAAAGAGGGGGGGAACAATTTTATTCCAGACAGAATTTTATTGCCAGATATTACATGGTATCAGAACACCTATGAAAATAAAAAACTGACTAGATAGAAAAGAAAAATAGATTAAATAAGATTGTAATTGTTGTTGTGACACCAGAGCAAGCAAGGTCTGATGAATTCCCAGCTTAATTTTCCTACTTCTGCAGAAATTTCAAGTGGTTCTGGGCCCAGGTCCAATTGGGATGCACGTGGCTGGTCACGCCTGCGACTGGGAGCTATGTGAGTGAAGCACACAGGTTCCAGGTGCTGCCTGCCCCATCACCTCATCCTGAGATGCTGAGAGCTGGCAGGTTCCCTGGGGCTGCTGCTGATCTTCCTGTGCTCGAAGGTACCTCTTCCTGGCCTCCTCCTCTAAACCTGGTACCACGTACAGGTGAGGGGCTGTGAGGAAGAGACCCATTCAGCCTGCCTTGAATAGAAATTCTAAGGCTTCCCTTGTTTTGTTTACCAAGCGGGGAAAGCAAACCGTTGAGAAACCATCTACAATTAGTGGATACTAAGCAAATGTCCTGAGAGGTGTCTTTCATTTCCCTGAACCACCCGTTCTTGTTAAAAGCCATTTCAGAAAAAGTATACAACTACGTGAATACATTGCAAACTAGTGACTGAGTACAGTCATTGTGCAGATGACTCTGTACTGGAAATAAGTATTTCTGTGAGCCTCTTAAAATTTTAGAAATATCTGTGATATTTTTATGAATCCACCAGTTCTCACTGCAGCCTCATATTACAAGGCTGAGCACTCCCGTGCTAATTCCAGACTGGCTCTTGCATTGACTGCCTCTAGACTACTAAGTGTCTGCAGTGCTTTTAAGAACAGCTTAAATGAATCTACCTTCTCGTTGAGAGATGTTCTTTTTTTGCAGTCATCTGATATTTGTGGTCTCTAGACTCTTCGTTTGCTTGTGTCACGTGCACTGAAATCTCATTTTTGTTGTTAATCTCCACTTCTTCCTGGTGCTGCATACCAGTGGCTTGGCTCTCCTTGACTCCTTCCTTTGATCTCAGGGAATAAAACCCTGTGTTTAAATAAGTAAGAATATCTCCCACGGGAGGAAAAGGATGATCCTGGGTATATCCTGACCTCGTGGGTTACACTGGGAGATGGAAGAAACATTTCATTTCCACGTGTAACATGACGTTTTCTCATCTAGCCATCTTACTCTGTCCTCTTGGCTAGTCCTTCTCTTACAACACCATACAGGTCGGTTGCTTTTTGTAATACAGTTTGAGAGCGATTAAAATCATTACTCTTATTTCCCTTCTTTGTTTTCTGTGAGAAGTTTGGAGAAACCATTAAAATTCCTGTCATATTTGCATATAAGTGGAAACATGAGTTGCGTTGACAGTACTTAATTTCAAACTCCAAAAATAATTTCTAAATTTAGTGGCAGCTTTCTAGACTGTTTACATTCAATTTCACTGTGCAACAAATGTCAGCACTGTCATGGTTAATATGTTAGCGCATGAAGCCAAGAATAAAATGTTCCTGTTGTCAGGCTAGCCAGGAAGCAAGCTTCCACCACAGAGCCTTACAATTCTCTTGGGAACCATTGTGGTAAATGCTGTAGTTGCTTAGCCCTACCCAAATGTTGTGAGAAAGTGGGCTGCAGTTATTCTGTATACTTTTCACTTTTAAGGAGATTACAATTCCTAGCTAATTTTAATTATTAGTTGAAAAACAGCACAGATGTTCAGTCAATTAATTAATGTTCTTTAATCAAGTCAGTCCCTTGAGGAACTATGTCAGTTTTTCAAGAGTCCGGGGAGAGAGATGGCAGAGCACTATGCAAACAGGTTAGTGCATCCTTTTCATGCTCTGCATATCTTTTAAAATGCTTAAAAAAGCTTTGTTGTGTAAAATTTATTGTATGTTTTTACCAAAATAATTTAGAGATACACTAAACATATACCGCAGTTGTGTGATAAACATCATCGCTATCGAAGGGGTGGGAAAGGAGCATTATTAAGATACCTTCCTAGAGATCCAGCAAGAACTGAATCTTTGTTCTGAAGAACAGCCTCAAATACAATGGATTTGACATTATTTAATACGTTAGTGCTGCTGAAGTCTGAAGCAGTACTGGCAGCAGGTGAAGGCATATGTAGTAGTGTCGTATAGTGCGTTGTGCTATTGAACTGTTCAAGAAAAAAGTGCAGGCTCATGAAGCACTGTGGCTTTTGCTGTCAGTACAGTTCTCTCGGGGATCCTCTGCACTGTCCGGATGGCAAATGCCACGGTGAATTGAACTGCTTCAAATGGAGACTGTTTAGTTATTTAAATTACATTCTCTGAGGTACAGAGAACCTTCCAGGAGAGTTTTGCTCAGAAACAACTCTTTCCTGTCAGTTGCAAATTTCCATCATTTCCAGGTGCGCTTGTATTTTGTTGTTTTACCATATGTAAATTTTGGGGCGGAAAAAAGTCCCTTTAACATTTTTACATGTAAAAGCTGGAATTTTTAATGAGATAAGGCGCAGCAGCAAGATATCCGGCATTCTCCATGCAAAATTGCATTTTCATCTGCCTTTATCTGTTAATTGCTTCAGCTGAAATTTCTCAGACCAAAAGGTCAGCCATTAGGCTTGGTTTGCCTTGGGAAGCTTCACTTCAGTAGCTGCTGTGCTTTGCCCTGGAGCTGCAGGGATGGAGGCAATCCTTGCCATGACCCATGGGCGCAGGCAGCTGGAAGGAGGAAAAAGCAGGTTGAGAGCAGGGGACGAGGCCTCTGAGTGACATAAAGCCAGAGTAGGATGGGACCAGTCATCAGCGTGAAGGTGAGGAGAGAACAAGTGGGAGAAGCTGGAACAAGAGCCCAGAGTCAGAAAAAAGGTTAAGTGATTTGGGCATGGAGCCAGCCTGTGAGCTAAGAAGGACGTGGAGATGCATGGCTTCTTCAAGGCATAGTCTCTAGGTGCCCGTGGTTAACACTATTCCCAAACTGCTGGAAACGGTGTCCACATTGACATCAAAGCATGCTGCCTTCTGAGCGCAGGTCACAACGCAACCTTAGAGCGAGGTGCTCTTTTCCAAGTGAGACTTCCCTCCGAGCAAGGGGAAATACAGCTTCTGTAACAGTAAACTTTGGTTTTAATTATGAGGAACAATGGTATGTTCATCAACGTGATTGCTCTAGAAAAGTAAATCAGAAATACGGGGATACTTCACACTGCCTTGTTTGTAGGGCTTCCTGTTTCTGAAGCACAGTAGAGGCAGGATGGGAAGCAGAGACCTTTCCTGCCCCACCGTAGCTAAAAGAAAACCATGGGATTTGCTTCATTTTCATTTTCAAAATGGACTTAGATTCTGGCCTCCTATGGAAAGACTCAGCTGTATTATTAATAGGTGTTTTGAAAAGTGACCACATAAGTAAAAGGAAAGAAAACTGTTACCTTTCAGAGGAATACTTCTGTATTTTTGCTGTTGTTGGGTATTTTCTGTTAGTAAATAGTCTTCCACTGAAGGAGCAAGAGTTGAAACACAGTTTGTTCTCTCGAAGATTATTTTGCTTTCTTTCAAGTTTTAAATAAAACCATTTTCCTCCCACACAGTCTCTCCTGTCAGACAGCTGCCAACGTTAATCCCACTCAAGACAGAGGCTTTAATGTACAGAGAAGAGCTGAGTCCCGTTACTGATATCTGTATGCGAGTGCATCTGTGTTGCTGTTGGGGGAATAAATATATATGTGCGGAGGGGGGAAGGCGAAATGAAAATCTTCTACTGAGAGTGAGTTTGGCACTTAAATGATGACTTCTTTGGAAATAAACATCCCAGTGATGGCAACTGTTATGTTGCAGAAAGGGATTAGAAAGGGAGACTGTGCTGGTACAGGAGTCTGGGGAGCGCAGATGCTTAGCTTCTTCAAGGTGTAGTCTCTGGGTGCTCATGGTTAACAGTACTCCCAAACTGCTTGTGTGATGGGACAAGGGAAGAAAACGGGGCTGTAAATGCAGAGGATCTAAGCTTTTAATTAAGTAAATCAAAATCTTCCAGATCCTTCCTCGCCTCAGATCCTTCCTGAGCCCCCTTAACATGAGACCGGCTTGTGGTCAGACCACTGCAGCCGGTGAAGGCCAAAGTGCCCTGTGCTGCCAGGACAGGGGGTTGCCGAGTGCTGCCAGAGCTGGGTATTTCATCCACGGTCACCTTTAACAGGGGGAAGGCGAGCCGGC